GGAAGAGGGGCGGGGCGGGAGCAGGGAGGTTCCGACTACTTAAAGCCAAAAACCCTTGTATTATTCCGTCTCTGCGGGAGGCGAAGGCACTCGAATGTGACTTGAGTGGTAGCAGGTGTCGGCAGTAACAAACTCACTGGCAAGATTCTATAATGTAAATGTATATGCTTGTGTGCGTTTGCATGTGTCTGCCTGGGTATTTCAACTGGACAGCAAAGTGGGCTTGGGTTCTGGAATTTTGCCAGTGCGATTGCTGGCCTTGTACGGTCGCAAGAACTTGTTGTCAACTTGCACACGCGTCTGCGTTCTGGTGTGCGGATATATGAAATTTTTGGCAGGAAAATTGCTAACACTAGAATCAGGAAGACTAGGAAGCTAAAATTTTCCTTGCACTGGTTAGGAATTGGTTAACCACTAATGAGATGAAAGTACATTGGGCGACCGTACCGCAGCATTCAGCGCAGGTTGATTTTTTCCGACTTATAATTTGTTTAATGCTTCAGAATTGGAGAAGAGGCGGAATCTGGAACGAATAGCGTTGATGGAACTGATAAATCGCAGAAGCTGGCTGAGAGAATTTGTGACAGCACATGTTCGTTTCTTCCCAACACGTTTTAAATTTTTTGAGATTTCAGTGTTGCCAGTTTTTTCCGGTCGATCGATGATGTCCACAGCAGCGCAATGCCGGTCTGCCATCCAAGGGGGAGTTAATCTTTTCAGAAACTTCTTTCCATTCTGTTTTGTGTACGTAGCGTCTCAGTTTTCAGCCGCTCGAACTGGATTGCTGTTGTGGAAACAGCAAATCTCTGCATTGCTTAAAAAGCGCTTCATCTGTTATTGGCGGAAGTGGCCAAGGCTCATTTCGCAGATGTTGCTCCCGTTGATCCTGCTCTTCATTGCAGCTGTATATGTAAAAATGCCGTCCCGTATTGATAGAAGGCATCGTAAGTTTTTTTCAATTGAAATTTGAGGGACTTAGAACTGGCGAGGTCCAGTCGTGGTGTTCAGCTAAGACGTATACGACTTAATGGACCGAAACGTCTTAACTCAATTGTTTTTCCTGCTATTTTTTCCTCTGCTTATACACCTTCCTTAGTTTAGCACCCACCAACGTGGATGCTACAATCGGCTTAGAAGGGAATTGTAAAGTAAAAATCCGGGGCAGCGGATCTCAGGTCTCTTTTTGGTATAGTTCCGAATTATCCGTCTGATCGGAAACAATCTACTTCTCAAAATGGTTCTACACAGTCAGCTGTTGGCACAGTGTTTTTTTTTTTAATGCTGATCGCTTTTGAGATGGCTTTCAGTTGGTAAGATACTTCATCGTAGTCTAGAAGTGGCAGTGTTCGAGATGAGGTGATGTTGCTCCATACACACCAGGAACACCTCGTATCTGCTGAAACAGTGTCAAGTGATATCTTCGGGAGAGCTGATTAAACACCGCAGAAAATGAAGCGAATGTCAAGGGCTGGCCAAGAAGGAGCCTGCATTGTTCCGAACAGCTGGAAAAATTGACAGCTGCTTTTTTGAAGAACAGAACACTAAATTAGGGACGAGATGGAGATGGGCGGCTTACGGATGAGCTAGAGAATCTCATTACAGGCAGTACGCCTGGCATTTATTATTGAGAAACAAAAAAGAAAAGCTAGGAAACGAATGCTAGGCTTACTAATAAGTTATTAGTTGTCGGGTGACGTAATATGTGATTCAACAGTCGTGGAAAAGTTGCGAACTGTACTGATGATGTGGAAGTCCGCAACAGCCCCCTTATTCGTTTCAGTGGTAAAATGGTAATAGTAAATGCCAGAGGGTCAAACTCGCCACCGGTTCTTGTTGATAATCGCAAATCTCAGAGGATCAAACACCCATTGGTGCTTATTGGTGAGCGCAAACTCCAGAGGATTAAACTCGCCACCGGTGCTTATTGGTAATCGCAAATCCCAGAGGATTAAACTCGCCATCGGTGTAAGCATCCCTCGAAAGACAGCCTTACCGGAGTATAGTTGCTGTCGGCGTTTGCTACCACTTGGACTACTTCTCAAGTGCTTCCTCTCACAAAAAGAAAGTATGCGGAGGAATTTTCGATTTTGACTTGTTCCAGCTTTAGCATGCATCAAACACTTCTTGGAATAGAAAGCTATCGGAGTTCATAACTGTTGTTACCAGAGGTGCATCCGTCCATGATGGACTTCTGGCTGTGATTTCTGCCTTTTTTGCTCCACATTGTTTTGAAAGCAGAATTTCCTTTTTATAGAAATTTTGCTGAATGCGGGTCGAATAGCTCCATCTGTTGTGCCAATTCAAGCAAAAGTCCCGAATGCCACAATTGCGCAAAATATCCAGCATATTGTTGGAAATATCACTGGATATGCCTACGAACCAGTATCACCGCTGGAAGATATGACGCAGTATCTTGCCGATTTACCAAAAGTAGATTTTGTAAATTTTCATACCTTCATCGCCCTGTATGACCGTGGTATTGCCGCGTTTTAATAATTCTTTGATCCTCTTCCCCCTCCTCTCCTCATTCTTTTCGCCACTTTTCCCCGTGGATGACCTGAGGAAGAAAGGTACTGAGTGAGCGGAAAGATCATCTTAAAATTCAAACAATACGCATTGGGAAGCAATTGTAGTGACAGTATCACTTGTTTTAATCGACTCAGAAAAT